GTGTTTTCATAAATTTGACAAACATTTACAAGTTTTATTTTTTATTTATTTTTTTTGAGACAGAGTCTTGCTCTGTCGCCCAGGCTGGAATTACAGTGGTGTCACCACAGCTCACTGCAGCCTCGAACTCCTGGGCTCAAGTGACCCTCCCGCCTCCGCCTCCCAAAGTGCTGGAACTAGAGGTGTGAGTCACTGCATCCAGCCAGACTAACATTTACAAGTTTTAAATGTAGTTTTATGCTTCTAAAAAAGCCTCACTTCATCATCAGGGAAAGTGCGATATGTTAAAATAACAATGTTTGCAAGCACAGGCAGTTGACCAGGTCCTAACGTTTGGGAAGAGTCCGTCGAAGGAATGTCGTGAAGTGCAGCGAAGAGATCTGTGGTTGAGCCGACACAGGAAGGAGGCGCGCTGGAGCCATGTGAAGCCGGGCTCTGCTGTACGTGTGCAGAGGCAGGGCTCACTGCTTACCCTGTGCGTGTTCCTTTTCAGATTGACCGGTTGCTGGCAGTAGCTGACTTTGGACCCTCAGATGGAGAACATGTTGTACCAGACGATTTCAGGTGATCCGTGTGGACATAACTTTCGGTTCCTGGTGTAAGTTCCAGGTGTGGAGTTGCTGTTTTCCATGGCAGCTGCACAGCCTGTGCTGACCTCATGCACTTGCCCTGGGGCCCAGCATCCGCCTGCAGCAGGTCTGTTTTGGGCCTGGCCACGTTTACACAGTGACGGCCTCAGTGGTCACCCAGGAACGTCTGCTGGGACCCTTCCCGTGGGGAAAGGGGTCTCTCGTCCTCTCCATTCATTCAGCATGGTTTTGCGTGCCTGCTAGCACTGGTCCAGCACTGGCCCTCGTCTAGCTCTTAGGACCTATCTGTGAACAGCAGAGCGAGCAGTGCCAGTCTCTGGAGCCTGCAGTTTGCTGGGGACCAACAGGAAGCTATAGATGTCAGAAGATGTCAGAAGAGTCAGTGTGTGAGGAGGGGTGTGCTGGAAGCTGGGGCTGGGAGAACTGCAGGGTGGCCTGCGGAGGTGACGGAGCCTGGGGGATGCAGAGGTGTTTGGGGGGCCTGTCCAAGCCCCACGACACAGGGCAGGGTCTTGCGTGTGGTCCTCAGCAGCATCAGTGTCCCCTGGACACTGCTCCCAACTCTGGTTCATCCGCCTGCCAGGGCTTCTGACGCTTCAGCGTGAGAACCCGAGCCAGACAGAGCCCCACGTGACAGCCAGCCCGGCACATCCGGGGTCCTCGAGGTGCAGTGGGGGCAGGTGGGGCAGGGAGCAGAGTCCTTCTGGGGCAGAGCGCGGGAGGGTCCAGGGGCATGAAGGGACCTCATGTGGGTGTTGCTGTCCTCGCACAGACTCTACAGCTCATCAGGTAACCTGAGAAAGACCTGATAGGCTCCACCCGTAACTGTTTAACTGGCCTGGTGCCCTGGCCACTTTACCGAAAAATAGTTGAAGATGCGTTTAATGACGATACGAGTTGCCGTGTCGGGACCGTGCTGGCCACTGGGCTCTGACGCTGGGGAATGCCACAGCCCAGCCCCACGCTCCCTCGCTCCTGTCTCTGTCTCCCTTGAACTGACGTCCAGGGGCTTCACGAGCAAGGAGATGAGGGAGCGCCCCTTGCTGGTGTTTTGGTGAGGGTGCTGTGTCTGGGGCTTGGCTTGTGCTTCGTGTGAAGGCTCCTCTTCCCTTCCAGGGACCCGGACGCCCTGCTGTGTGACACCGCGGGACCGGCCACACACTCGAGTCTATGTGGGATCGATCACCAGGCACTCAACAAGCAGATCATGGAGTACAAGAGGAAGAGAGAGGGCAGGCTTGGGGGTGCAGCCCGGCCAGGGCCAGCGGCCGAGCTGGCACAGCCTGTGGTAAAAGGGAAGAAGAAGGCCAGGCCCCGTATGGAACAGGACAGCTCCCTCAGGAGTTACCTGGCAGGTGGGGATGACCTGGACGATGCCCCAGGCCGTGAGAGCGACCCCCAGGGCTCAGAGGATGAGTGGGAGGCTGAGAGAGGAGGCAGTGGCGCAGGTCACGGGGGCTGTGCTGGGGGATAGGGGAGCGTCAGCTCTGCCGCCGTGGCTGTGGGGGGCACCTACCCCGCCTGAGCATGTCAGAGAGCCCGTTGGCATGAGGTGCAGCCTGTGACTTCGGTTGGTGGCTTCATCTGCTCTTCTGCCATGTCTATGGTTTAGCTCTTCCGTGTATCTAAACGTGATTTCCTGCAGAAAGTCACTGTGGTTTTTCCTCCAACATTGTGTGTAGTTAAAAAAGTAAACAGCCAAATTCACAAATTCTCACAAAAGTAAAAACAGTAAAATAGTGTCTTGGAGACGGTGCGCACAGGCGCCTCCACCTGCAGAGCTGGGCGAGCAGCAGTGAGTTCTGGGCCCACGGGCCGGCGCAGCAGTGCGGGCTGAGAGCTGAACCTGCCGGCCTGGCCGGCGGGGCCCAGCACCGGGGGCTTCGTCCTCCGACGGGTCTCCAGCGCAGCCTTGTGCAGCAGCTTCCCCTCCTGGTTGAGGCCATGGTTGAGCAGAGAGTGCGAGTCGGTGGGTTTGGGCTTCCTGGCTGACCCTGGCCGTGACCGTAGCTCCTGTCACACCCGAAGCATAACAGACTTTCCCCTCGGCGCCTGTGGCCGCCTAGTGTGTACTTTCTAAAGTCCGTCCAAACGTCCGGCAGACCTGGGCTTTGCCTCCTGAAGAGCACGTGTCGTGACACACGAGCCACGAGAAGCGTCTGTGTGTTGCACTGGGTCTTTTGTGTTGCCTCCAAGGCAAGGGCTCGCTTTACTGTTTATCGAAAGAGAAGACACGCGACACACGTGTAAGTGTCTTTCGGTTTGGCTCTTTTTCCTGATGCCTTGGCCCCTCTCAGCCCTCAGGTCCTAAATCCTGCATTGGCTGCAAACCGGCCACGCTACGTAGGCCGGTGTCACCTCTCTGAGCCCTAGCTCCCTAGCCCCCTGTCAGCACCATGGACTGGAGCCTACCTCACGGTGTTCTGTGAGCATCGAGGTGGCACATGGTAGGTGCTCGCTAAACGGAGGGTTGTTTGTGTGGAGAGAGCAGGTGCAGGAGCAGGTCTGTGGCGGCTGGTGTGGGGCACTGCGTACTGCGGTGGTGGCTTCGGCAGGGAGCTGGGCAGAGACCCTCAACGACCCGCAGACAAGTATCTTCCCAGAGCAGGAGCCTTCTTCCCTCTCTGTGCTGCAAGACCTGCTCACATCTCAGCTGTAAACGTCTTGGATTGGTGGCAGTCCGGTTCCCAGGGTGGGCTGGGCCGGCACTGGGCAGGGTCCCCTTGGTGGTCCAGGAGTGAGGCAGCATCAGAGCCTCTGCTCTCAGGGTGTCTTCCCTCAGTCGACTCCCCAGGTCATGTCTGGGACAGACTCCCCAAGGCCCCAGGACTTTGTTATAAGAGCAGAAGTCCAGTTCCCCCCCACTCCACTGGTCAGGAGGGGAAGCCTGTTTTACATTAGAAACTTTAGGTACTTTGTAAAGCTGCCAGCCACGTTGAAGGGGAAGGGTTTGGGTGTATTTTTGGGGAGGAGTGGGGGGACCTACCTTGGACAGGGGTAGGAAGAAGGGACAGAGCTGGAGGAAGGATGGTCTGTGCCCAGGTCAGGGTAGAGGGAGCGGAGACCTTTCAGTGCCTGGCTTGCTAGGGCCGGGGGCGGTGGGAACAGAGGGAGGGCAGGAGTTTTCTCTCCTCTGCTTGGGACCCAGTGATTGTGAGTGTCTGTGGCTGATGCTGGCAAGCATATTGAAGTAAATTGAGTCTATATTTCTAAAAGTAACTTTTGTTGTTGTTGTTTTTTTTGAGACAGAGTCTTGCACTGTCTCCCAGGCTAGAGTGCAGTGGGGTCATCACAGCTCACTGCAGCCTCAAACTCGTCGGCTCAAGCAATCCTCCTGCTTCAGCCTCCTGAGTAGCTGGGACTATAGCCACCACCACCACACCCAGCTAATGAGAGACAGAGTCTTGCTCAGGCTGATCTTGAACTGAGCTCAAACAATTCTGCCTCGGCCTCCCAGAGTGCTAGGATTACAGGCGTGAGCCACTGCGCCTGGCTAAAAATAACTTTATGCTTTCTTTTTGCAGAAGTACTATATGTTCTTTGTTGGAAAGTCTAGAAAATAAGATACCAACAAAATGAAAGAAACAAAAGCTCCATGTAATCTCCTCTCCCAGTGACAATTAACGTTAAATTTTGGTGTAGAGCCAGATGTGGTGGTGTGTGTCTGCAGTCCCAGTGCTTTGGGAGGCCGAGGTGGGAGGCTGCTTGAGCCATGATCGTGCCTGTGAATAGCCACTGCACTCCAGCCTGGGCAACAGAGTGAGACCTTGTCTCTAAAAATAATTTTGGCAGGTATATTTTTCCAGTCTTTTTTCCGTGAATGTATTTACAAAATGGGATCATTTTGCATACATCTCTTTTTCGGATAAGTTTTTATTTTGGAACATTCCCAAACTTACAGAAAAGTTGAAAGTCTAGTACAGAAGATTATTTCTAAACCATTTGAGAGTCAGCAGCCTACTTGATACCCGTAACCACTGCCGATGTGTATTTTCTTTAAATGTGTATTTCTTATAAACAAGGACATTTTCTTACAGAACCACAATGCAACCATCAAAGTCAGTATATTAACACTGATGTATTAATACATCCCCATTTGTGGGGCCCCATGCAAAATGAAAAACTAGGGTGCCTTGTTCAAAATTAATAATTTCAAGATGGTGACAGCAGAGGGATAAACCGAGTGAGGCCCCGCACTGCGTGCGCCGCACACCCAAGCCAGCCCTGAAGCCACAGGTGCTCAGGCCCCTTTGTGGTTTGCGTTTGTCCCAGTTCCGTCCCTTACCGCATGGCGCCTGCCGCCCTCACCTGGAACGGCTCTCCTGGCTTCCCAGAGCCTTCCTGGGATTTTGTGGAGTGCAGCCCAGTTGTTTGTGGGATGTCCGGCAGTTTGGCCTGTGGGGTGTTTTCTCATGATTAGATTCAGGACTCACGTCTCTGGCAGGAACCTCACAGCAGTGACACCATGTCCTCAGTTTTGGGCTGTTGGTTCCTGGTCATGTTCACCAAGGCGCATTACAGAAGGCTGTCAGGCCCCTCCACTGTGAACTTACGCTCTTCTTCTCTGTAACTAATGAGCATTTCAGGGGAAGTACTTAGAAACGATGTAAATGTTTAATTTTATTCAGTTGTTTAATCAGCATGAACTCAGGGTTTCCTATTTTACTCAGTAGTTATATTCATTTGTTTTGATGTTTAAATTGTCCCTAATTTGGCCAGTGGGAACCTGTATGAGTTTCCTGTGGCTGCTGTAACAAATTACCCCAAACTTGTCCCACAGCTCTGGAGACCACACGTCCAGGATCAAGGCGTGGCAAGGCCCACTCCCTCCAGAGGCTCCAGGGGAGGGTCCGTTCTTGTCTCTTCCAGCTCTGGTGGCCTTAAGCATTTCTTGGAAACATAAGAAACTATATATATATATATATATATATATATATTCGTATTCACATCTCCTTACTTACGAGATAGGTTATTACACATATTCTGAACCCTGGTGTTCTCACTCTGCTGCGTCCTGGGCCTCAGCCTTGGTGGCTAGGGAGCTCCCCTGGGGTTACCACACAGAGCTGCTTCCTTAGCACAGTGCACCTCCACTCACTCGCTGCTTCTTTGTTCCATTAAATTGCCAAATACATTGCATTTCTATACGTTATGGATTCAACAATACGTGATACACAATGTTTTGTACAATTTCATTGTAAATCAGTTAAGTGAAAAGTACACATTTGTTCTGTATTTTATAATTGTATAATTACCTTTTACTGGTGCTCTCTGGGTGGATTCAGATTTTCATCTGGGATCACTTGCTTTCAGTGTGAAGAGCTTCTTTCGTGTTTTCTTGTAAGGCAGGTTTGCTAACATTGAATTCTCTCTGTTTTTGTTTATCTACGAAGGTCTTTATTTCGCTTTTGTTTTTGGAAGGTGGCTTTGCTGGATATAGGATTCTTGGTTGACAGGTTTTTTCCCTGCGAGCACTTCGAACGTGTTCTCCCTCCCAGGCTCCGTGGTTTCTGCTGAGAATCAGTTGTTGACCTCGTCGAGGTTTCCTGCGTCATTTTTCTCTTGCTGTTTTTAGTATTTTCTTCTTGTCTCTTCCTTTTTGCACTTTTATTATGATGTGTGTGTGGATCTTTTTTTGCTTCTATGTGGAGTTCAGCAAGCCTCCTAGGTGTGTATATTATTGAGGTTTTTTTGCTTATTACTTTTGGGACATTTTAAGCCATTATTTCCTTGAGTATTTATCTTCTCTTTTCTCCCTTTCCTCTCCTTCTTTCCATTATATGTATATTGGTGCATTTAACAGTGTCCCGCATTTTTCTGAGGCTTCATTTTTCTCTCTGTTCTTCTGACTGCATCATCTCTATTGATCTGTTTTCAAATTTACTAATTCTTTATTCTGCCGGGTCAAATCTATTATTGAGCCCTCTAGTGAATTTTTCATTTTCGTTATTGTACTTTTCAGCTGCAGAATTTCTGTTTGTTTCTGTTTTACAGTTTCTGTCTGGTTGTTGGCGTTCTCTCCACGATGCAGTATTGTCTTTGTTTCTTCCACTTCTTCGTTTATCGTGGTTTCCTTTGGTTCTTTGAACATATTTATAATGGCTACTTCGAAGGCTTTTTCTGTTATTAGTAAGTTCAACATCTGCTCACTCTCACAGGAACTTTCTGTTTCCTGCTTTTTTCCTGGTGTACAGTTCATACTTCCCTGTTTCTTTGCACGTGCTGTGACGTTCCTTGGAAACTGAACACTTGAGATGATACATGTGGCAACTCTGGGCTTGTTACTGTGATTTACTTGCTTATTTGCTTAGTTCCTGGCTGGGTTGTTTTATTGGAGTCTATCTCCTCCCACACCCAGATTCCTAGAGTGTTAAGTATCTAATGTTGCTCCTCAGGGAGCTCAACAGTCACCCCGGGATTTGGTGAGGGCTGTCTTGCATCACTGCAGGGCTCTCTTAGACTCTTTCTCTGACCACACCCAGATGTTTAATCCACTAATTGTTCTATTGTTTCAACAATGCTCTGGGGCATGTGTCAATCCACAGCCTAGAGAACCAAATCTAGGAGGCTTGGAAGGGATAGTTCCTGAGGTCAGTGTTTGAGATTTGTTCTGACCTCAGGTGGGCTCCTTCCAGCTGTCTTTCCCCAGCTCTCCTTGGCAGCAGTGTAACCTTTATCTCCACTGCGTCCACCAGCCTCCTCCCACTCACCTGCCACCATAACCACCATTGTTTCTGAGAGCACCTTTAGGCTTGAACTTCTCCACGCTCTGTTGCAATGAAGTCAGTTTGTTTGGGAAGAGACTAGGATTTGTCTGCTCTATAGCAAAAATCTACAGCCAAAATCTCTGAACCACACAGCCTTGGAGCTGGGGGTGGCGGGTGGACACCAGTCATCACTCACCTTGGAGTTGAGGTTGAGGGTGGCAGTAGCCTGAGGTCCTGGCCTCCCTGGGGTGAAACCACCACCAGGACCCCAGTACTCTCAGCACAGCAGGTGGGAGGTACAGGCTTGGTGCCACGAGTAGGCCCTGTGCCGAAGGGAGCCTCCGCCTCTGGCCGCACTCACACAGGATGAGCCATGCTGGGGTCCTGCCCTTCCCAGGAAGAGAACCCTGTAGCCACAAGCTGGGGGTGAGGGAATTCTGGTCCTTGGGTCCGGCAGTCTGGAGTGGGGCTTCCGTTTCGCTGCGGCAGCACTCAGAACAACGGGTGTGATGTGCGCCCTTATGAGCAAGCAGGAAACACAAGTGTGTTCTGAGGAGCCTGTCCCGTGTGAGCTGTTCCCGCTGGACGCGGGGCACAGCCTGGACGGAGATGGTTGCAGCTGTGTGGGCTGGGAGGGCCAACCACTGCCTTCTGCGAAGTCTGAATTTTCAAGAAATGTACTGTCTTTATGTAAAGGAGGTTCCATTTTGAGCACAGAAAGTAGATCTGACGTTTGTGTTTAGCCTTATGTATTATTGTTATTAAATTAAATACATGTCCATTTAATTAAAATTCAAACATTTTAAATGATTTCCTCGTCTTTTCAAATGTGCCATTTCATCGTACCCTAGTAACTCGCCTTGAGTGTGGCTGCTGGCAGGCCGAAGGTGCGCAGTTGGGTCTGCATTGCTCAGTCGCTGCGAAGCCTGCGGAGAGTGTCATTTTTATCACTGATTTTCTTTCATTTTCTTATTTAGTTATTGGCACCATCCCTTGCACCAACCTGATGCTTCCTTGATCACAAAAATGCCGCTGTCTTATCGGATTAGGTTTCTAATTCCCTGTGCCCTTGGCCGGGTCAGACTTGCCCCTGGCTGGCTTGCCTACTCCTTCCGGTGGGAAGAGCTGCCTCTCCTGCTCCTCAGGGACTGAAAACGTTTCTTCTCCTTGATCTTCAGCAGCCTTGCCGGCAGCTCAGAAGGATGCTCAGGACTGGTAGCCCAGGAGCCCTGAGGAGGCAAGTGCTAGACTTGGTCCTGACTAGCAGAAGCGCCAGGAAGGCACCTAGTTGTTATTCTCCTGTTGCATAGGTAAAAATTAAAACATTTGAAAGCAGCTTCGTTGGCGACATGCTCTTCTTCCATGTTGCCAGCAGGTGGGTGCCAGGAGGGCCCCCCTCCTGGCACCACAGACTCGGCACCCTTGGACCCAGCTGCCGCTGCGGGAGTCCGCCCTGCAGAGCATCCCGTCCAACGTGGAACTTG